ATTTTGCCCCGGGGGATCAAATGGGGGTCGAAAAATGACGTTTTTTATACAAAAAGCCCCTTCTTCCTTGAACTCCTTCTACAATTTACTCAGCAGCCTAATCGTCTTTTGAGAGATGGCTGGTGGTGTCATGTAGATGTGCAGTAAGGTTTCAGAATTTCGTTTTTTATACAAAAAGCCCCTTCTTCCTTGAACTCCTTCTAAGCCAGCAGCCTAATCATCTTTTGGGGGTTCAAATGTGCAGTAAGGTTTCAGAATTTCGATTTTGCCCCGGGGGTTCAATGGGGGTCGAAAAATGACGTTTTTTATATAAAAAGCCCCTTCTTCCCTGAACTCCTCCTACATTTTTCACAGTAGCTTAATCATCCTTTGGGAGATGGTTGGGGGTGTCATGTAGATGTGCAGTAAGGTTTCGGAATTTTGATTTTGCCCAGGGGGGTCAAATGGGGGGTCGTAATAACATTTTTGGTAGAGAGCCCTGTTTTCCTGAACTCCTCTTACATTTTACTCAGCAGCTTAATCATCTTTTGGGAGATGGTTGGTGGTGTCAGGTAGATGTGTAGTAAGGTTTCGGAATTTTGATGTTGCCCCGGGGGGTCAAATGGGGGTTGAAAAATAATGTTTTTCATACAAAGAGCCCTGTTTTTCCTGAACTCCTCTTACATTTTACTCAGCAGCCTAATCATCTTTTGGGAGATGGTTGGTGGGGTCATGTAGATATGCAGTAAGGTTTTTGAATTTAGATTTTGCCCCGGGGGTCAAATGTGGGTCGGAAAATGATGCTTTTTGTGCAAAAAGCCCTGTCTTACTTGAAGTCTTCCTTAATGTTACTCAGAAGCCTAATAATCTTTTAGGAGGGTTAAATATTTTGAAAATTATGTAAAACATCAACGTCAAGGGGTAACAAGATGTGTTTGTGAAATACTATGCGCCCGGCATCAACAAAGTACAAAAAGCTATATTTTTTGCATATAGGTCACAGTCAAGGTCATTGACCTTGGTGTTGTTTGTAAGAACTTAATTAATGGGGTATGCATACTAAATATGAAGTTGTTATCTCCTATGGTTCAAAAGTTATGGCAAAAAGTAGAAAAAGCTATTTTTAGCATATAGGTCACCGTTAAGGTCACAAGGTCATTGACCTTCATGTCATTTGAAGGAACTTTATCAGTGCAGTATTCGAACCAAATATGAAGTCTCTATCTCCTATGGTTCAAAGGTTATGGCAAAAAGTGGAAAAAGCTATTTTTAGTATAAAGGTCACAGTCAAGGTCACATGATCATTGACCTTGGTGTTGTTTGAAAGAACCTATTTAGTGAAGTATGCATACCAAATATAAAGTCCCTATCTCCTATGGTTCAAAAGTTATGACCAACACTTGAAAAACCTATTTTTAGCATATAAGTCGCAGTCAAGGTCACAAGATCATTGACCTTGATGTCATTTGAAAGAACTTTGTTAGAGGAGTATGCATACCAAATATGAAGTCTCTATCTCTTACGGTTCAAAAGTATTGGCCAAGGTTAAACTTGACAACAGACAAACAGACAAACAGATAAACAGACAAACAGACAGGACAAAAACAATATGCGCCCCTAAAAAATGGGGCGCATAAAAAAAACATTGCATGCTGGGAAACACCTTGAATTCTTATGAGTAATTTATGTACATGTCAAATGTGAGAGTCATATCTCATCTCAATCAAAAGTTATAAGCAAATGCAACATTTTTGAAAAGTAGGTTAGGCTTGATCGCTTCAAGGTCAAGGTCACAGTGTAAAAATATTTGGAAAGGTCTTTATCACAGGTAATAATAAACATGCATTATGATATGAATGCCCTAACTTTTCTCTTTCAAAATGATGAATTTATAACAACTTAATTTTTTTGCAAGTTGGTCAAACTTCTAGGTCACATGTAAAAAAAAAACATGCCATTCTCACAGGTAAATATACTAATAATAATTTTAATATGAATGTCTCTTCTCATTCTGTAGATATGACCGTGATAACCAAGATTAAATTTTTTGAGACAGATGGACTGACATACAAATGTACATATTTCTATATGAATTGGGTAAAATTCGCCCAGTGGTTCTAGAGAAGTTAAAAATGTAAAAAGTTTTCAGACAAACAGATGGACAACACGTCACGACAGACATTATATGCTAAGGAAACAAAAAAAGCTCAAATGAGTGTTTTGAAAGGGTTACAATATGGTTGGAGTATTTGAAAAGCTGTTTTTTTTCCTGCAGAGATATGCATGACCAACATATTTATGTTTTATATTTTCTTTAGTAATTTGTTTGTTTGTTGTGAATACATCTTCCCTCATATGGAGACACCACCAAATAATAATGTAGATAAGATGTGTTTGTGAAACACTGATGTCCCAGTATGGAAGCCTATGGCGAAGGTTGAAGTTTCTCAAATATATGTCAAACTCAAAGGTCAAGGGTTCAAATTGTTAGTGTCAGAAGAAAGTCTATGTTAAATAAAGAAATCTCTAGTAATTCCTTTTCAAAAGTTAATTGCCAAGGTTAATTTTTTTTTTAAGTGGTTCAAACTCTAGGGTCAAGGTCAAACATATTTCCTGTTGACAGTTCAAAATGAATACAATATGTCATGATAAGTATGAAAGCCCTAGCACCTACTGATCAAAAATTAGGCAGAGTTTAAAGTTTGGTATTTTTCTTGTAAAAATGTGTATCCCATGTCAAGCGATCAGAGGTAAAAATTAATGGTACCCAAATAAAAGGTCTTATTAAATTGTCACAAGAAATAAACCTATAAAATGTGGAAGCTATATGTATAGCCCATCCCACTTAAAACTTATGGGCAAGCTAGCTAGGATTTAATTTTTGCAGACTTATAGACAGACATACTATAAAGACAAGAAACAAAATATGTACATGTATAATAATTAGTCAAATGGAAAAAAAATATACTATTAAACTGGAATCACAAAATAGATTGTTATTTCAGGGACAGGAAGTGGATAGGAAGATTGGAATCCCCCCCCTCCCCCCCCCATCTGTTATTTGCTTTGTTATTTAAACAAGACTATATACTGTAGCAAGTAAAAAATGACTCTTGACATCCTCTCCCTATAAACTTAGAAAACATTGACCTCCCTATCATTGTTTTTTTTATTTGTTTATTTGTTTTCATTTTTTTTCTCCTGCTTGTCACGAAATTCTGGGCTGGAATTTTTTGACTTAGATGTGAACCCCCCTCCCTACTCCCTAAAAAAATTCTGGATCCGCACCAGTATTGGCAGTAACTGAATGTCACATCGACAATGGGAGATAACTTCACAATATGAAATTCGTCTAGTGTGGCATGGGATGATCTTTGACCCTTTTTAAACTTTAACCTAATCATTGACTTCTACTTACCGACTCCCTGTGTCTCGTAAACTTCATGAAATATAAATCCAATTATAACACAAAATGAATTAATCCAATGCACACCAGACTGCAACCATGTGCCATTTTGGCGAACTTTCGTCGATTCCGTCACCTTATCAGATGAAGTGGGAATCGGCCGAGGTGTGCCAAATGGTGTTTAATCTATAAATATCATAATGGGTGACGCAACGTGATGTAATGTAGAAATTTACATGTTCACATGTATAGTACAAGAACAAATTTTAAATTAATTCATTACAAACGATATTAAATTTTAACAAACCTTTTCCATCTAGCCTATTCCAAAAAGTATGTGCTGTGTGATTGTGGCGTCGAGGGGGGGGGGGGGGTATTAAATTTAAAAAGGTCCTATTATTACCAAAAAATATAAAATTTCAGACGCGGATCCAGAATTTTTTTCCGGGGGGGGGGGGGGGGGGGGGAGGTCCACCTCAGTCAAAAAAAATCCTATCCCAGAAATTGACAATCAAAAAAAAACCTAAAGTAAATCTCACCCAAACGTCAAAAACCTATATCGTGGAGGTGGGTAAGGGGTAGTGGTGACTTCTATTGCCGCAAATGTTTAACTTTTCATACCTATTTTACACATATTCGTGTTTACCAGGGGGGGGGATCTGCATTTTCAAAGGGGGGTCCATTGTAACTTTTTCCTTGTTTAGTGTATACATTTTTTAACCTTGTAAATTCCAAGGGGGGGGGGGGGGGGCTGACCCCCCCTCCCCCCCTGACAGATCCGTGCATGAATTTACATCATTAATAAAATTCAGACTTGTATATAATGAATTAAGCATGTATAAAATAAATATAAGAGGTTCTGAGTTATAGGTCACAGGGTCTGAGAATTTCATAATCAATTTGATTAATACATGTAAATTATAGAATTATTTTGACTATTTCCTTTGAAAGCCGCCCAATATGAAGGAGCGTGTATTTAGAGGCAAACACCTTAGTGCGGGTATTACTGTCTCATGACAGCATCTAGTTTCTTTTAGATCTGACATATATTTTGGACTTTCCAGAGCAAAACATGGACACTGCCATCATACTCATATGGGAGGCGGGGTATCATTTAGTGAGCTCATTGCTCACAGTACCTCTAGTTTTGAATAAAAATGGAACAACTCGTTCATTTTTACCTTGTCATTTGTAACATCATTTTGTTATAAAAACAATATGAATGTCTGCACAAATATTCTAAGTTTACATTAAAAAGATGTTTAACGAACATTATTCGTGCTCAAAGTCCATTTTAACGATACAAATTTGAATCAGAGCAAACTTGAAACTCTGAAATCATCAGAGGTGGGATCAGTTGCTATAAAAGAGTGAGCATCCCATGCAGACTGGTCACACCCGCCGTGTGTACCTTGTCTTGACCAGATAAAAACGGAAACATTTAGTGTGTAAATAATAGCCTAATAATAAGTATAAAAAACGTAATTCTGCATTTGACTTAATGATTGGATTTATTTGGTGACAAGGACATTGTATCAACCATACAAAAGTTTGTTTTTATAGTATTGTACACATAAGATGTATATAAGATTTGAAGTCAATAGTATGTTCTTACCATTCCTCCAGTTTATAATTAATCGTCGTACGTAAGGGCTCCATCGTGGAAGACTGCTGTTATATATATTATTTTGATGTCTTTGTACCCATGTGCTTTGTGTAATATCTAAAAAAATCAAATCGTATAGTAAATATCCTCCAATTTAGATACATGTACATTGATTTAGTCGATTACATGTAGTTATATCTACACTACAAACCTGCTGAATCACAAGGATATGACTTGTTTCCTTCGTTTGTCTCCATCAGACACTCGCCCAATAAGTCATCTGTGAAAAGAAATGATCTTCTAAATCCATTACATATACATGTACACACATTTCAAGCTATAATTCAGAACATTTTATTCACTGGATAAATCTACTCAATAGGTAAGAGTTTCTTATTAAGATTTTGACTTTCAATAGCCTGTCTCGTTTGAGCTTTGAGAAATGGATCGTATTTAGAACATGTTCTTGTATTATATACAAGGAACACCAACCCCAAAAGTAGGTGATAATAGTATATTGCTACATCAAGAAGAGAAGACTCTGTGGTGTCTGATTTCGAGTTCAATTTGATATATTCATTATAAGTGTATGAAAATGAAAACGTATATTGGTAATTAACATGATACAAACATTTTTTTTTCTTTGGAGGATTCTTAATATCATGTTTAGAAAAGTGGGTAATTCTTAGAATTTTTTCTCCTATAAACTGCAAAATGAAATAGACTTGGAAAATATAAATAATATTTCAATAATAAAAAAACAAATATAGACAATCACACCTAATATAAACTTTAGAAAAATATACCAAGCCAGTTGAATCTTTTGAGGGAAAACAAAATGACAAAACATCAGCAATATCACATAAGCTGATTTTTACTATTTTGCTTTTGCTAATAAACTTCACCTGGCTTGGTATATTTTTTTTAAGTCTATCTTACACTTTTAAGCACAAAGATAACATATTCTGAATTGTTTTTCATCTGTAAACCTTTACTGAGTGTTTTTGTTCGTATTTGTAATCTTATTGAAATATTACTAATATTTTCTGAGTCTATTTCATTTTCCGATTCCCGATTCTAAACTTATGACATGATAATAAGTCTCCTCCAAGGAAAAATGGTATCATCTGTCCTTAATAAAAGGTTGATATATCTAAATTTAAGGATACTACAGGATACTTCTTTTTATATAAAATTTTATGAATAAATTCTGCATCATAAGAATACACAAACAAGTCTTATAATAACGGGATACAATTATTATACATGGGAATTCCAAACTATTGTAAAAAGACTTGGACTTCAAAAATAACGTTTACATCGTAACAAAGTAAAATTCAGTGAAAAAGTACAATGCTTTGCGTAAATGTCTTCAATCTTGCATAAGAGTGTTATTTATTTTTAATAAGATAATAGTTTGTTTGCACTTAACTTCTTTTTTTAAACAGTGAAGAGAGGAAATTTATTCATTGAATAAATGGTTTATTTACATTGTTTTTTGTCAAATGAAAGAATGAAAAAGGTGAACATAACGAACAGTTAATTATTTTAAAAGAAAAACAGACTGAATGAAATTTGCTTTGAATTACTACAGATTCAATATATGATGAAAGACGCCTTTACCTATTTCTGTGCTTACTCTGACTCTCCTATACAATGCAAATGCATAATATCCATGCTTATCACCAGTTCCGATTAAGTCATTCTTGAATTTCTCTATATTTTGAAGTTTGCAGTTAACATTTTTGAAGAAACCCGCTTTTTCATAGTCATCACAAAAGCAGTGAGTTTTCTACAATGAAGTACTAAACTTGTTACGTTTCATTAACAATATAAAATTGACTAATGCAGTATCAACTCTTGAACAATTTTTTTATGTGCCCAGAAATACTGAAATTAATAATTCACTTCTTATTAACCTATAAGCAAAATTGCGACTCTGTTCTGCAGAATCAAGTCAATTAATAAATAAATTATACGACATTTTTGACAAGATAATATTAAGAAATAGATACAAAGTTTGACATAAAAAATTATATTTAAATTATGAAATATATTGGAATCATCCAATTTTGGAAAAACATAAATAAATTGCATGTTATATTTAAAATAACCCCGGAAAACAATTAAAGGGCTTATTTCAAATTGGGTCCTTATAGTTATACTTGTATGATGGATATTTAGCAACAAAAATGTTTTCATTAATAAGTGGGATCAAGTTGTCAACACAGAGGTCTTTAGAATGAATTGTGAATAATGTATGTTTATAACAAGCCTTCACATTAATATAATCGTTATCAATATATTAATAAAATAATAAAACTTTTTTTTGTATTTCAGGTCATAGGCGGTGGAAAACAATAAAGCGTATGTTACAGAGGTAAACAAATGCACATGTGTTCTTTTAACGGATAGAATCAACTATATGTTGTACCTTGTGTATACTAAAGAGACAGATAGTCAACAAGTCAGCATTTACCATAGCATTTACCATAGCTATGCTAGGAAGGGCAAAGATGTGACATATGCTGAAAGTGGTGAAAGCTAAGTAACCGGATGAGAACAGTTCTTTAAGTCATGTGACCGAGGCACCCTTAAGTAACTACCAATAAAAGTTATAATAAATCCATGCTAATATATTTATGACAATTTGTTTCCAATAACATAAATTACATGACTGAATTTCTTGATCATTATGAAGAATAATTAGATGTTATGGGAAGTAACTTAAAAATTGAAGAACATTGCAGGAACTTCTTTGTCTTGGTTCTATGTTTGCATTTTCAGCCAAAATATATACATGTCATTAGAATTAAGGATCAACAATGTAATTTATTCAAAACTACTATGCCACTATGAAGTAAATGGATTTTAGTGAAGAGAACTCTTTTGGTTAAAAATAATGTAGTTTTTGTTATCAAAATTTTACATAGGAAATGCATTCAAAATTGTAAAAGCATTGATTTGACAAAATCTAAGAAGAAAGGCTGGCTTGGTGGGTTAAACGAACCAGAATTAAACATGTTTGGTACCACTAAACCTTGCCAATGTCCTTAAAACAGTTTCAATTTCTGCTAGTAGCATGTTCCAATCTTTGACTCCATTTAAAAAACATTCAAAACTCAGACGTTAATAGTATTAGGGGAAAACAAATCATGAATTCCATTGAATAATGACCTAAGGTAATTTTCCGACTTTTTATATAAATTCAAATGAATAACCTGACACAGCAGAACACTGAACTCTATTACGGCCTGGTCCAACTATTTTGGTAAATACGTTAAGACTGACATAGAGATGAAAATTATTTTCCTGAAAGAGAGAGTATTCAATATTGGTTTATTGTATATTTCTGTTAATAAGTATGTCTTTCACAATTTTAATTTAAAAATACGTACATTGTGATGTTATGACTACATATACCTTATTTAATATTTTGTAATAAAACAAATACATAAGTACATTTTGTGGAAAGAACATACTATCACTCTTTGTACAATTAACTGAATTGTAAATTATTATCATTGTCAATTTGTAAATTTAACATCAAGTAAACGAATCGGAACGAAACATTTTAATATTCACTTCCTTACATGAAAATACTTAAGAAATAAACAACAATGTAAAAAAGTTCTCTGGGAAACGAACTTTTAGTTGGTCACGTGATCCAATCCTGTGAAGCCCAAACGGCTTCTCAGTAGAATTGATCACGAACCAACTAAAAGTTTATTTCCCAGTGAAATTTTTAACATTGTTGTTTATTACTTATATTTACATTTGAGACGAATTCCGAATAAAACTGTATTTATTACACAAACGGGGCCGCCGTATTGCTATGTTGTGACGCGCAATGACCTAGGGGGCCTAGAATTTGTTTTGTTTAAAAGTTCATTTTGCACCAACATTTGAATATTTACAATAATGTTCAGCAGTACTAGTCCAGTTCAAGAATTTTGTGTTTATAATGTAATAACAATGATCCCCACTGAGAATAGTCGTACTATTTTATGAGTTTTTAATATATTTGAAGTCAAAAGCGATGATATCCCCTGTTTTAGTTAACATAACTCCAAAGGAATTTCGGGTTAAAATGGTAAGTCCGATTTTAGGCTGTAATTATAGTATTTAAAACATTCTTCACACCAAATGAAGATCTATTGATCATTAGTTGAATGAAAATATCTATATGTGTCAGGTTTTTTTTACCTTTTTCTTCGCCTTAAACTTGGTAGGTCCGAAAACAGACAGAAATACATAAACAAGATATCACCTCGCCGAGCGATTCGGTCGCGCTATGACCTCTGACCCCCAAATAAAGTTCACACAGAATTGAACATATTTTTTCTTCAATAGGTTCATAGCCCTGGAGGGACATTGACTTACTTGTTATGACTTATTTGTTATAACTTTTTTGTTTTGAGTTATTTGTTTTGATTGATTGATTGATTGATTGTATACTGTTTAACGTCCCTCTCCAGAATATTCAGATATGGAGACGTCACCATTGCCGGTGAAGGGCTGCAAATTTAGGCCTATGCTCGGCACTTATTTGTTCTGAGATTTTTTTTGTTACTTCTAACTAAGTGTAGGTAAGCTATTGGGAACGATTAATTGTAGTTTTGTAGTAAAACGTACAAAACTGATGTGATTAATAAATTTTCATCTGTTAATTACGGACGCCCTTGAGAGATATTGACTTATTCCTTATGTGTTTTGACTTATTTCTTATGTGTTTTGACTTATTTCTTATGTGTTTTGACTTAGTTCTTATGAATTAACTTTGAATTCTTGTTATTTTGAATTTGTAATGACAAGTTTTGTTTACAAAAAGTGGCGTAAAAGATGAAGACAATGTATAGTTTTAGAAAAAAAGTCCTTGAATTTATTACTAACGACAAAATGAAATACATAGTAGCGATTGTCAGTTTGTCAATCATCATGCAAACTGGAAGTTACATATAAGAATTACGTAATAATAACTTTTAGAAAATAAGAATTAAGTTATAACAACAAAAAAATATTTACTTTAGAAATCACAACTGTACTGGACGTTAAACTACGATTTGTTAATCAAAAACCACAGTTAAAATAGGACTAAATATCATTTTTATCATAAAAGTAAGCCAAGCAACAGGTTTTCAATAGCTTTCTTACACTTAGTTATAACTAGCTACGAAATATTCACAACAAATAAGTCAAAACAAAAAAGTTATAACAAATAAGTCATAACAAGTAAGTCAATGTCCCTCCAGGGCTAAAGAAAGAATAATGCAAATGTAAATAATTACGTTTATACCGAATCCCTTATAGGTGTTCCTCCAGTTTTCACATAATTGATGACATTGAGCAACAGGACTAAGTTTTGAACTAGGCATCCATTGTTTAAAGAACGGAAAGTAAAAATACAGGTTGCATCCTTGGGAAAAAAGAAGCTTTTTAAAAATAATAATTTTTACATTTTCGTAAATTTATAGAAATTTCTTTTTTAAGGACTTGAAATTTTTATTACAAGAAAGACGTATGATTTTTTTTAGCAACAAGACAGCTATGAAGATTATAAACCAAGCTACATTTAAAACTGAGCTTACATTTGACGAAAAGCAAATTATTTCCATTTAAATAAGATGAACTGGATAGCAACTAACTTTGAAATTAAAAACATCTTTGATTGAATGGGATTTTCACCCATATATGCAGATATATACATACTAGTATATAGTAGTATACTCCCGCAAGGAGCAATTACACGAACTTTACTGAAGTACTAAAATTAATATCTATAATAAACATTAAACTACCTGCTAGTTCAAACCATGGTGTGAATGTTCCTGTTGCCCCTATCCAGTGAACTTGTGCAGACCTGAAGGTCGGAGCAGGGATATCAGTAATGGGAACACCGACGCGGAGAGTTGTGTTGGAGATTACCAAGTTACAGCTTTCTGACGCTTCTCTCCAAGTCTTTGGGGTCTCTTCAATGCACAGATCTACTGCAATAAAATACATGTCTTTTATTCCTTATTATTATTTTTTTATTACTTGAAAGAGTTAAAAAACAAAAGTTATAACCCCATAAGCAGATTTTGTATACTCGTATACCTCAAGTCAGTAATTTCAAAATTTAGAACATGATTTAGATATAAAGATTGAAAATGAAAATTAATGACTTTCCGAGAAAGCTAATTATTTCTGTAGACTGCTTCATAAATAAGTTTATCCATGAAAAGTAAGTTTTTAAAAGCGCGATATGTTATATGAATTTATACAGTATATGTGTATATGGCCATATTTTACGATCGTAAAAGATTTCAAAATAGTGCTTCGTATATAGCAATCTATCCATGGAAGATTATTCCATATATTCCTATTGGTTACAAGAAGCTATTCAGTGAGTGTTTATCTCTGCCAACCCTTTAGAATTATAAGTCAAACCTATAAAGACTTATATCTCTTCTGTTACAAACCAAATATTTATGCTTTAAGTTTAAAAACAAACAAAATGCTGATCAAAGGACTCGTCAACATTTGTGCATTCATGCTATTTCATTGAAAGAAGCACAAACTGTAAAAAATTGTATGAGACAATTTTGAGATAATGAAACAAATAATTATTGTTTCATCAGTATCTCGAAACACGGATCTTCGGTCATATCAAATTGTTTATTTCCACCTATGATTCCAGCCAGCGGGTCCATTCGATGTGGAATTTAGATAAACAATGCGTGTGGTGTTTTTCCTTTGAGAACCCCATAGAGATGTTTTCACCATCAAATACAAAGCAATTCCATCTACTGATTTAAGTTCAGAAGGGTAATCGGTACAAGGATCATTCAAACCATTCGTAGATTTTTGTCATAATTTTTTTTTATTTAACATGTTTAACGCCATATTACACATGAGTTCCATTTAATCAAATGGAATGGCGCTTCACATATGGCTAAAATAAATGTTTTAACATGTGAATATGTGTTGATTTTTAACATTGTAAAATTTTTTAATCTTTAATATTTTAAAAATAATATGAGGAGAATGAGTATTGTCTGTATATTTTTTGAATGACCCTTGTAATATTCGCTAGTGTCGTAATTGTCACGCCAATCAGAATTCTGCATATAACTTAATATGACATTGAGTAACTTCATGTTCTGTTCACACGAGAATTAGATTTCTGAACTGGGAATTGTTTCCTTCTCTGAGGTTGGGCATTAAGCAGAAAAAATACGATCTTTAGAAGTATATCCGATGATATCAGCTAAATAAGGAAGTGAGTTTTTTCCAACTAATCCTAATATTAAATTCTGAATTAAAAGACCATTTTTTTTTCATATATTTACTTGTTCAAAGTCAATAGAATATTTTATTGTACTAATTTATGCATAAGCCACACCCTTTATGCTAATATAAGGCCTACAACATCCATCAACCTTTGTTTTTTATTGGAAATTACTATAAATGTATAAAACTAATTAAAAATTACAGTATAATTGTTTTAACGTAAAAATCACATATTTATTGTAAATGTCTAACCTTTGTTGATACTTTCACAAAGGGTCTGTGATTGATGACACAGAATCAAAATAAGTAAACTTCCACAGAGAACGGTGTCCCCCATTGTATATTTTAGGTAAAATGTCCTCAAATGAGGATTTCCACACTCTGTCGTCCCCGTTTGTGAACAGCCTTCAAGTTATAAATATATCCTTCCCGTTACTTTTTCGAGTGTTTTATCAAAATGGGTTTTTAGAATTAATATAAGGCACTCAAAGCATTAAATTACCATATTTGTCTAAAGTATGTGTAATCCACCTAGTAAAAATGAAACTTTCTACTTTTACAAACATTGATACATGTATAAGTAAATGATTCTGAAACTCGGTACACAGTTTGACTGTAAATAAGCATTAGAAATTTTTCTCGTTTTTCGATAACTTTCCAAAATTGATGTCAACAGGGGATGCTTATTCCTCCTAGGCACTTTATCTCACTTCTAAATTTCCAAAGGTCCTTGTCTTATGCCTTGTTTACAGATTTGTTTTGTGTACTTGAAAATGGCAATCTAACAACCAAGCTTTATGATTAACGTGATGACTTTTCTATTGTCAACTTCCCTTACTTATTCAGCAATATACCTTCATCACCTGCATACGGAGTTTATGTATTTCAGTTAATTCGATAAACAAGAGCATTCTCTACGTATGAACAATTTCTAAAATGAGATTAATTATTGACAAACAAGTTGATGAAACAAGAATATCAGCAGTCTCGTTTAAAGTCATCATTTCGTAAGTTCTATGGTCGATACAATGATCTTGTCAGCAAATACAATTTATCATTGAGTCAAATGCTGAGTTTTTGTACTAATTGTTAATTATTTTTACACTGAATTGACGGTAGATTTTTTCGTTATGTCCCGACAAGCAACACACGGCGGGTGTGACCGGTCGGCAAGAGATGCTCACTCCTCCATGGCACCTAATCCCACCCACGATGTTTTGGAGGTCCGTGTTTGCTCTGCTCCTATTTTGTATTGATTTATGGAGTTTTGATCTTGAATACTGCTCGTTATCTCCATATGTTTCATACATGTATTTCTTTGTTTCTTTTATTTATTTATGCCGCACTTTACTATTTAAGCTAGTGGTGATACATGGTCATCTACACTATTTCATCCAATCTGAAAAGTACTTATTTTGAATCTGTTTGAATTCTAGTGGGAATGTGTAACTATGATTAGATTTTTTCAAAATATTTTATTGAAGTTCCAGCAGATAAAGTAAAATAAAATCGTCTCCTTCTAAAAACAATGTACAAAGTATTATCTTCTAGTGATAGTCAATATTATTAATCATGTTAATAGAGCTGACAAATTGCAAGTACAGTGTATGGCAAGTAAGTATATCTGCAAATACACAATACATATTATTGCAGTTCTCATCAATATACAATAAAAAAAATTTAATTTTACGTCAGCTTTGTTCAAATATAAATTTAAATTCTTATCATGAGGAACCTTTCATACGGCATTGAGGGAAACAGTTCCAATCACTATACTGTTCGGTATATTTGAGAACTTTTACTTTTGTTTTCCAAAACGCACCCAACCACAATCACCCGAGATCGTCAATGCTTATGATATCGTAAGAAATTAGACTCTGAAGAAACTGTCCATCCAGATCAAGGATGTGAATACATTTATTTTCATTATCCCCAACCAAAATACGACCATCGAAGTCGTTATTTTTCTTCCTCGTTTAAAAGTCTCTTGTTATTTTGCTTTGTTCTATGGATAGATATTATACAATTGACCTCTAAAGTTTTATTTTGCTACATTTTGCTAGTTTTAAGGGGGTATATAATAAAATTATCATTATAACAGTAACTTGAACCGAAGGGCCGTATCACTTTTCATTGACAGGTGCGGATCATCAGATCAAACTTAACGCTTCGCGTCTTGTTAGATCTGATGATCTGCGCCTGTCAATTCGCTATGATACGTCCCTTCAGATCAAGTTACTGTTATAATAATATATATGTATTTTTTCTAAATATATATGATTCGTTGATTGTACGATGATTTACGACCCATTCGAGACTTTTTATTCTCATAGAGAGACGTCACCATATTTATGCCGGTGAAGGGCTTCAAATTTAGACTTCTACTCAGCATTTATGGCAATTGAACAGTGAGGGATTTTTATCGTGCCAACAACTGTCGTGACACAGGGCCTCGGTGCTTAAGATCTCATCCGAATGACCCGTAACTTTCACTTCAAATTACCGAGCGCTTGGCGAAAAAACAGTTGCTATTTTATTTCGTCTTGGTAGGTCGCGTAGGTAAAGCTACTTTAGTAATTTAGTTATTTTTACGATATACATGTATGTATGCAGCGCCGTTCTGCATATCCCTTGGGGAAGGGGGGGGCAATACACAGTACTACTGCACAGAATTCTCACAGACACACATAAACTGTTTACTTTTCGGTATGAAGTAACATCACAACATAGAGGGTAGCGTTCTAATGAGAATACTCGCTGTTTTATTGTTCGGTATATCTGATAATTTTCACTTCACTTCCTCCATACTTTCCCAACCATAATCGTCCGATATCGTCAATACTTAGCGTACATGAATCATAACCTCTTATGCTATGGAGAAACTGTCCGTCATGATCAATGATGTGGATACATTTATTCCCTTCATCCCCCACCAGTATACGGCATTTACAGTCTGTAGCAATGTTACATGGAACAAATTCTTTCTCCATTGCTTGCATTCCCTTATATCGGTATCAAAACTTCCCCATCCTGTTCACCACAACAACAACATTGGCGTTGCAATCATTTGCACATATATCCCCATTTGAAATCTCTGTTATATAGAACATTCTGTCTCCCTCACCAAATAAAAAATTCCCCTGGTCATCTTTCTTTATTTCCTGTTTTACTTGTCGTCCTCTATAGCGTACTACCTTGTGTCTTTTGTCGTCAATGGTACCCATGGCGACAAGCAATTCACCCGATTTCGTACAACAAAGCCCTAGTGGTTTCCATCCCTTTTGCACCGTGATATACTTAGTAGATTTGCCCTCCCTAAAAATATAAATTGATCTATTCATTCTATCTGTGTACACCAGCTCTCCATTTCTTGAAATAGAAATGTCGCTAGGGTGACCATTCCATTCCAGACAACTGGATATAACAGCCTCCTGTATATCACCCTTTGTGTTGACTCTGTGGATGATTGAATTTTCATTGTATGAAATCCAAACCTCTTCAGTTCCAAGGCATGCCAATTTCCTCAAGTTGTCCTCAGTTGTAAATGTTTTAATTTCAATAGCTTTATCTAATAACTTTCGAGTTTTTGAGATTGCTACCTTTCTTTCAATGACCTGAGGTAAACTCACAGAACTTTTCAGTTCTCCGAAAAGTTTATGTAGTTGAATTGAATCTGGCGACTTGGGGACAAATATTGGAAATCTTAATTCAATATTGGATGAAATATCTCTTAATAAAATCGGTGATGGCAATTTGTATTGATTTATTTCATTTGCATCAACGGATTGAATGATCGTTTTGTTCTTTTGAACTGCTTGCATTAAGACTTGGATTGTATCCTTGATTTTTCCTTGACACTTTCTTAAATCTCTACTGCCAGATTCTTTCATTTCAGAAATGAGATCTTTGTTTTTCTGAACAATATCCTCAATAACCTGATGCCATTTCTTCCCGTGTTCTACAGCTAATGCTTGCATTTCATCACATCTTGAAAATAAATCTGCTATTTTGGACTCGATATGGCTTTCTGCTTCTTCAAACTGAGGAAGGATATCTTCAAGCTTAGCAGTGTTTTCTTGTATTTCATGTTTTGCTGAATCAACGATTTCAGAAAAATCAACAACATCATGACCTTTATGGAGGCCTGTCGAACATTTTATGCAAACTGGTAGATGGCAGTCTCGACAAAATACGGTACATTTCTCAGTTTGTGAGCCTCGCAATTTGTAAATTTTAACTGAAATTCTATGTCCTTGTATTTGACGATTCCGTGTGTTGGGGATGGTGACGTCATATAGTGCTTTCCGACGCATTCTTCACATAAGTTTACCTGGCAAGGATTACAGTGAAGCAGAGCGGCTCTCCTTTATAGAGGTGACATAGGATGACGTCCTGCGCCATTTTTTTTCCTGCTAGCCATTGTGGCTCCTTTAATGATGTTTTCTCATATCTAAAATAAAAAATGAAACAATACATTTCATTCAAAAATTATTCAGTGTCGCTCAAATCATTTGCCTTGTTGGGGGCTATTTTATAAATATAAACATAGTACATACAATAAAAAATAAATATCTTCAAACCCAAATTTTACTGCATTTAAAAACAAAAATAGCACCTATCATCAAGGATAGACCTCTTAAACAATTTTAGTAAATTTAAACACTAGCTTTAAAATGTTGTCCTTCATTTTTCCAATTTCCCAATTTTTTACATTTACCATTCTTATATTACTTCATGGAGACATTATGATATATACCGTGGCGATCAATTTACTAGTATCAATCGAATTATCTGAATCTCTATCTACGTGGAATTAATTTTTGTTGTTGATTAAGGTGGATCAAGATCCCCACTCAATATCAGTTTCTGGAGGATAAGGCCACTGTGCAGCATGATAAAGGTGTTTTCATTCAGGCACAGATCTAAAAAATTTTAGGGAGGGGGGGGGGGGGGTTAAGGGTAAATAAGTTTTTATAACGTACGTTTTACACATACGTGTAGTTAAATAATAACTCAGTAGGATACCGGGTGGAGTAGGGTTTTTAAAAATGGGAGGTTGATCAACCAGGGAAAAAGTACTTGTATGAATAACTTGAAAGTTTTGGAAAAAGAAAGGAAAATATATTTTCAAACCCGAAAATCCTAATTTGTAAAGGGGGTTTGGTTTCATTTTGTATTTGCAATCGATTTTTTTTTATATACATGTATTACAACATTAGCCTTTCGCTGAACATTTTTCTATAGTAAAAACACAACTAAAATTTACGACTTTTCTTTTCCTTTTTTTTTTTTTTTTGCAAATCTCAAAGGGGGGAGGTGCAATCTCCGTAAGTCCACTTTGGATCCGCCACTGTATTTTCTTGTATATTTGAGCAGAAATTGTTAAGATATTTGGCCATTTCGTTGCTCGAGATCAAAATGTTAATTTTGGTAATTTTGATCAAATCTGAACAAGTCGGTATCATTGAGTAATGAGATGTTGAAAACCTTGTTAGACCCTTGCTACCTATAACTGCAATACAGACACAACAGTAAATGATACGAAACTCAGAGGATTTGGGGTAGTCTCAAGTCCATAATTTTGAAGTCTTTGTTTTAATGAGTTTCTCATTTAGAATATCATACTTTCATCTAAATTGGTTGAGCCTGTCACAGACTGTTTGAGAAACATTGCTAATAAAACATTCCCCTCTGAATAACAAAATTAAGCCCTTCGGCATCATAACATTCAACATTGCCTGGCAACTTGTGATATCCCAAATATATTGACTGCGCAGAATTTATGGTTCATTGTTACAGGTATACTGAAAGGGAAAAAAATCCAGGATAAACTTTTGAGGTGAAATAATTCTATTTTTTCTCATGCATGACGAAGGATATGGAGATAACGAACAGTATTCAGTATCAAAGTCCATAAAACAATACAAAACAGGATCAGAGCAAACACGGACCTCCGAAACATCAGAGGTGGGATCAGGTGCCATGAAGGAGTGAGCATCCCCTGCTGACCGGTCACACCCGCCGCGTGCTCCTTGACATGATCGTGAAAAAACGGAAAAAGTCTGTCGTCAATTCAGTGTATAAATAATAATCTAACAATTCGTGTGAAAAACGTCAGTCAGCATTTGACTTGATGATAAATTGTATTTGCTGACAAGGTCATTGTATCGACCAAAAAACTTACGAAATGATGACTTTAAACGAGACTGCTGATATTCTTGTTTCATCAACTTGCTTGTCAATAATTAACCTCGTTTAAGAAGTTGTTCATACGTAGAGCATGATCTTGCGTATCAAATTAATTAGCTGAGGTATATAAACTTATAAACTCTGTATGCAGATGATGAAGGTCTATTGCTGCATAAGTAAGGAAAGTTGACAAAAGAACATTTCAAGTCGTCACGTTTATCATATAGCTTGGTTATTAGGTTACCATTAACGTCTTTTTCAAGTATTTTTGTAGTAATCCTTTCTGTCGTTTAAAATCATCTTTGATGAAAATGTAACCACATTCCATTTGACTTTGCGTCATAATCCCTAAGTTATTGAAACTGATATGTCGATACCCCACAAATGTGAAAATTTGTAATTCCCATTATCTTCGCTCATCTGTCATACCTTTTTTCTCCTTTTCAGGGAGTTCATTATGTAGTGTGTAAATTTTTCTTTTAAAAAGGGACCCTATTCATCCTTTTCAGCAAGATAGCCCTTAGTTGAAAGAGACCAACTTAGGCGTTTCGAATTTAACCATATCTTCCACTTGGTCTCACAGAGGTTTCATGAGAAAATGATGAATTCACTCGGTACATATTATAAATGTGATTGATTGCTAGAAAGTCTCGATTAAGCTAGTCTACAATGGGTAGGGGGTAAAAATGATGAAAAAAATAGTATGCAACAGATAGAGGAACACAAACGTAACGTTGACCAGCTAAGAGATCCAAATCGCGCAATTGGTTTCTTTCGTTTGTATGGTGAATGTATAGGTGGTTTAATGATCAATTGATTGGCCTGCACAATACTATACATGTAGTAATATTAACCCTCAGCGTTTATGTAAATTAACACGCAACCCAATCAATTGATCACATCATGAAACCAAAACATTATAGACAGTTATTCCTTAAATATATGAAATCAAAATTCTACGGAATTTCAATAATATATTTTGCTTCGATCAAAGCTTATAAATAGTTCTTCCATCACAAATATGAAAAAGTTTATAAATGTCATTGAATAGTTAAATACAATTTTGCAATAAAAGTTCTGACTTCAAGTTTCAGCTCATGTTGTATTGCTTTAATCGATTGAGTAGAACATCAAAATAGCACTGAAACACGTGGAGGATTCTTACCATAAAGGAAGTGTCTTTTATTTTCTATCAAAACTCCGACTTTCTTTTTACTATATTAATCCATGTCACGTGATTTACGCCCATCAAAATGTCGAAGGTTATTAATGTTATCTACAGATAAAATCAAATCCAACGCACAGGCGTTGTCACACATGTAATGTAAACTACAGTTTATTCTAAAAGATTAATTTACATTCAAAAGATTTTGTTTCAATTTTTTGACCGTCAGTAAGGCAACAAAACAACTCTATGCATGTTTAATTTAAAATACAGAAACCAGTAGGTGTTATTTAAAAACCAGGAGTAGAAAAAATGAAAAGAAAGTTCTTTGAAAGAAATGAATAATTGTAACCGTAGAGATTTTGAATTTTCATTCAAAGTTTTACAATTATGGGATTATATTTAACAAAATTTTTTTAGATTAATAAGAATGGTTGTAGAGAGGTTGAATTTTGAATATCATATAAAGTTTACAATATCTTGATATTTTTTAAATGTATTAGTCACATCGTTAACAACTAAAATAGGTAAAAAATTAAAGATCAATCCAGGCATTCATATTTGGTTATTGTTTCATCTGTCCTTAAATTCATTCTTAATGTATATAATTGCTTATCGTTTGATGATTTACGTCCCATTTGAGAATTTTTCATTATTTATTGATCTCACTATATTTATACTGGTCAATCAATCAATCATTCTTTATTTCCTCCTCATGGAGATATATGAAATATGACATACAATTAAATAAATATTACACTA